CATAATTTTAAAGTATGACACATCAACTTAATTCCTCTATAATTGGCACACTCTTGTGCATCCCCTTTATTCTTAAAAGTGGGGACCAAAATACTCTTCCTCCACTCCTCAGGCATCTTTTAGTTTTTAAAATAATATTAAAGAGTTTAGTAAGCCAAGAAACTCCCAAATCTCCAAACATTTTCATACTTCAATTGGGATATCATCAGGTCCTACAGACTTTCCATCGTTTGTTCTCTTTAAAGTCTCCACAACTTTTTTTTTACTAATGCAACGATCAAAATGAAACGTTTTATTATAATTAAAGATATTAAAATCACTAAGGTCGATCGTATTTTCATAAACTTCATCAAAAAATTTATCAAAATAACCCACCCACCTATGTTGAATATCTTTTTCTAAGAAAAATACTTTTTGATTTTCATCTTTAATACGCTTTACTTGAGTTAAATATTTACTTTTCCTTTTTCTCTGTTTCGCTAGTTCATACATATAGTTTTCACCCTCCTTAATATCTAATATATTATAAGGATCATTAAAAGCAGAAATTTTAGCGTCACATATTGTTTTTCTAGACTCCCTGTGGGCCATTTGATATGTATCCCAGTTCTCTAAGCTTTTACATTTAAACCAATTTTTATAACATAACTTCTTATATTTTATTTTTTCTTGCACATTATTATTCCACCATCAATTATTTTTATTTAAAGAAAAGTTTTCTTTTGATTCTCAAAGTACATCTTTTGTTACTTGTTTAATAGTATTTGTTACTTTATCCCACATAACATTTGCTTCTTCATTTGTTTCATCATAAACATCACAAATTTTGAAATCTTGAATTTTACTCATAAAAATAATTTTATTTGTATATTTTAGGCTCCCCATCTAATTCTATGATAACGAATCCTATTATTTTTTATCATACAACTCATCTTAAAATCTAGAACTAATAAACGATGTAGGTACTTAAATCCCCACTTGGAATGACCTTATAATCTTTACAATTTCGACGATCTCTTCTTCTCATAAGAAAATAATCAATTTGTGTTTTATTAGATCCGTTTTTATAAGTAATAAGATGCTCGGATGCTCGTCTCTTTTTTTGAAAGTAATAACAAAATCATATGCTAACGCAAAATCTAAAATAGCTCTCATGGTTCCCCCCAATAACTCTCGGTTCACTTTATTCTCACATTCACTCAACTCTGACTCTAGAGGTATATTCACAAAAGACAATCCAGGATTCAACATCCTGAAAGGTAGTGTGATGAGCGTGGACATGCCCCATATGAGAAGCATAGCTAACTACGAAGAAGAAACTTCCCAAAGAGAGAACATATATGAAACCCAACGGAAATGTTATACAACCAGACATCTATACGCAGAAC